AATTGATCTTCTGACTTAATAAAACCAGCCACAAAATCACAGGGTGAGAAGAGCGATGGGTGTATATAGGTTGGGCATGTGAAATCAAACAAACTTTTTTTTTTCCTTTTTTTCCCAAACAGGGTTTTTCTGTGTAGCCTTGACTGTACTGGACTTGCTTTGTAGACCAGGCTGGCCTCAAACTCACAGTTACCAGCCTGTCTCCCGAGCACTGGGATCAAAGGCGTGTGCCACCCTGCCTGGCTTCAAATGAATTTATAATACAGTGAGTACCCTGGGAGACTCCACTGCCCCAATAACTTCTAGTTTTCTGTGGCACTCAGGTCAGTTCCCTGGGGTAATCTAATTGTCTATCCTGAGCATTAGTTCCTTAAGCAATGAAAATACTAGACATGCAAAGGTCCCAAGACCTAAATTGCTCTTAGACTCATTCCTGTCAAGAAATCTGGTGTATGTTCACTAAGTTGTGTGAGTATGCATTGGTGTGTTAGAAAAGAATTGCTGTAATTTTCACTGTCAATAAAAACTGCCTTCCAATTATGAGGAATGGGCATTCTAGGAACTGCTTTTTCCACTGCCTGGCATTCCTTGTCAGACCCAACTCAGACTTAAGTTCCCCAGAGCAAGCATCTGCTTCTCAGACTGCTTAACAGTGTTGACTTCTAAAGAGGGCTGAGTAGCCCAGAGGCCAAGCAGTAAGTAGGTTTTACTGCTCCATGGGAGTGCGCAGGAGAGAATCAAGGAATACCTGGGTGTGAGATGACTTGCTTTGCTGATGGCCCAACACCGACCCATTGTGCAAGGTCTAGGACAATAGCCACACTCTTGACCTAGATACTGTCTATATCCTGCAGACCTAAAGCCAGAACAGCATTCACAATAGAGCTTTGGAATCTAAGCTCTCCCATTGTTCCAGGTTTACAAGGAAATGCTGTTTATCTTGCCCTCAGGCCAGTCGTGTAACTCTCTACAGGACAGCTGGCCTCCCATCCACCTCCAGCGGACTGGTTCATATCTAAACAAATGTGCTTGTCTCAGAAAAATTTAAATCTATGGAAGAGAACTGCATATCCACAAAAACAAGAGAAGTAAAAAGAAATAGGAGCAAATTAGTCCAGAAGTAGGAGGAAAAGATAAAACACTGAGCCTGCAAGTGGAATGTAGTGAATATGAAGTTAGGGTACCAATTCCCAGATGATGATCCAAGATCTAAACAGAACTTCATGGCTGGGCATGGTGGTACACACCTTTAATCCCAGCACTCAGGAGGCACAGATAGGTAGATTTCTGAGTTCAGTCCAGCCCAGTTTACATAGAGAGTTCCAGGCCAACCAAGGCTAAGTAGTAAGACCCTGTCTCAACAAACAAACAAAACAAATAAGCAGAATGTCAACTGAGTCTTTTAAAACATTTATTGTCTTACAAAAGAACGTTGTGATGTCACTATTTTTAATTACTTTGGCAGTAAAACCATGAATTTTTTTCTGTGCACGGTATTTTTCTTCAGTTAGATTAGGAGCTGCAAAGCCAGGGTCTAGTCCGTGCCACTGTCTGCATTTGGTAAAGACCAGTGTTTCAAGACTTAGTTTTGGTTAGTTGTTTCACTAAACACATTTGGCTCCAGGTGGGTAAGAATCACTTCTCACTAAATATCTAGACCACTAGGATTACAAACTGGCAGTTATTTTTCCCTAAAATTTAAGCCATTATTTTTCTTGGATCAATGACTTCACTCACCTACCCTAGTTTAGATAGCCAGGAACATATACAGACTTCCCATTCCTGTCTGGGATGGAAAAAATACAATTAGACACATATGTAACACTACACCTCAGTAAAAAAGGAATCTTTCTTTTTAAAATATTATTTGTTTATTGATTGATTAATTGATTGAGAGACAGAGAGAGAGAGGACAGATGTCTTCAGAGGCTATAGGCCTTGGATCCCTTGGAGCAAAAGTTATAGGCAGTTCTGAGCAGTTCAGAGCCAACTGACATGGGTGCTAGGAACTGAACTGTGGTCCTCTAAAAGAGCAACAAGTGTTCTTAACCATTGAGTCATTTCTCCAGCCCCTAAAGAGCTGTTTTCCTTATATACTTGATATATATGTATATATATTTCTGTACATAACACTCACACACACCAACTGCACACAAACACATACTCCTTAACAGCTTAAACATTATCAATTACACAGTACACATGCTTGCTCTGTTCTTTAGATTTTTTAATAAATCATTTCAGGGCATGCTTAGAGCACTAAGTCAAGGCAAACAATCATTTCCAACATTTTGTTATCACCCTTAAAGTAACTATTTGCTTTACTAGGCTGGAAACTCTGGCTCCACCCTCTGGCTCCCTGTCCCCAGAATTAGCTCAACTTGCATTCCACAATATTTGTTCAGGACTTCACTATTGAAACAGGGAGCACACCCCGAGTACAGATTTCTCCTGGCGGTGGTCCAGCCAGAGCGCGTCAGAATGGTTAGCTGGCCCCTGGGCTGAGAGAACAGAGGGAAAGATCAAGGAGTGGTCAGCCAATATATATTCTCAAGCACAAGGCTCTGTTATTTGTTGTGTGAAATCTTGTCAGGGCTGAAACATACAGTGCAGGACAACTGCAAAAGTCAACACCTGTTTCAACAAGGCCAAGAGTTCACAACTGAGTTTTGAAACGTCAGTGTACACATTTATTTTAGGATGCTGTCTGCAAAGCTTCAGAATTCTATCTGGGGAACAGCACAAGAGAACATGAGCAAAAAATCAAGAGATCTCATTTCCTGTTTAAAACTAAGATGGTTACTGCCGCATGTTGCAGTGGACACTGATCACAGACTGTGATGCAGAGGCAGCAGACTGTTGATAGGGAACCAACTGATTAACACAGCAGCTGAAAATGAGCCGGAGAGCTGGCTCGCTCAACATTGGGAAACACTGCCCTCTATTGGCAGAGGGCAACTGCTGTAAAGTCAAGCGGATTGTTTTTAATAACCATCTTTGACACAAGGTCTATTTTGTACTACTGATGTGCAGGAACTTGTTATGTAGACTGGGTTGGTCTCAAACATAGAGATCCACTTGCTTCTGCCTCCGAAGTGCTGATGTTTTAAGGCAAGTGACATTAATCCTGCCCTTCTGTTAAATTTGTAATTCTCTTTTAAAGATTTATTATGTGTACAATATTCTGCTTGCATATATGCCTGCTCTCCAGAAGAGGGCACAAGATCTCATCTGGGAATTGAACTCAGGACCTCTTGAAGAGCAACCAGTGCTCTTGAGCTCTGAGCCATCTCTCCAGACCCAAATAATTTTATTTTGTTTTGCCTAGATGTGGAAGGCAGTCAGAGCCTCTGGAACAGGAGTTACAGACAGCTGTGAGCTATCATGTGTGTGCTGGGAATTGAACCTGTGTCCTCTGGAGAAGCAACCATTGCTCTTAACCACTGAGCCATCTCTCCAGCCCCCTGTATTGGTTCAAGTGTTTGAGGTATGCAGAGATACTGAAGAAAGCAAAGGAAGGGCTAAGGATGAAGCTTTAGGGTGGAGCCCTTATGTGCAAGGCCCTATGTTTAATTCCCAGCACTGTTGGGGTGGTAGGGTTGGGAGAAGGCAGGAAAGTTACAAAGTTTTCAATGTGGTATGACATCTGTATGTCCCCTATACACAAAGCCTCAACTTATTTGAATGCCTTTGTTTTCTGGTTATGTCTAAAGATGGTTAAGGACCAGGGATGATGGCACAGCATCAAAAAATGAGCAGGAGACCAGGTATGCCACTAGCTCAGGGCTGGGAAACACTGCCCTCTATTGGCAGAGGGCATCTGCTGCAAAGTCAAGCTGGTTGTTATTCAATAGCCATCTTTATTTGAGACAGGGTCTATTATGTAGTTCTGGATGTCCAGGAACTTGCCCTCTTCTGACCTCAGCAGGCATCAGGCATGAATATGGTCCACAGACATACACACAGGCAAAACATTCATACATATAAAATATAATAGATAAATTTTAAAAATATATTCTACTGAAAGCAATATTAACCTGGCGTATACAACTCCATTAATAATATTAAGTTTGATGGACATGGTGGTACATTTTAGTCCAAGCATTCAGATAGTAGAGGAAGGTGGAGTTCAAGGCTATCCTGGCCTACATAGTAACTTCTGGGACAGCCAGGGCTATATACAGATCCCATCTTTAAATAACTAAACATATATATATATATATATATATATATATATATATATATATATATATA